CCCATGGGAGTTATAAGACCACGCCCCCGGAAGAGAACCAGAGCGCGAGAGAGACTAAACCGGTTTTATACACTACATATAACATGTTTGAAGGGTTATTTTCATACATATGTGTCTGTGCAGCTTTTCTCTTTCTGTTTATCATTCTGTGGACTAAATTACTTTAAGGTTATTTAATATAGGACATTAATCACCATTTTCACTGTTATTTCTTTAAAAAATCCTGATTAATCAGTTCATTTTTTTTCGTAAAAATGCAGAACTTACTATTAGAGGCAAAAAAAAATCCATTACAAATATATTACACAGTGATGGGTTCACAGGGTGTCTGCTACAACAACCTAAAATGCTAAATGACATGAATAATACATAAAGAATAAAGTAAGCAAGTGTTAACAACCCTGAAAGGCTTCAGTTTATCTAATTATTAAGAAAGTGGCCATTAGCTAAATAATTAAAAACAAACAATAACAAAACAACTTAAATAAAACAAAATAGGTCAAAAATATAACACAGATTAAATATTACAAAAATTAAATAGTTAAATAAGGTGAGGAAATTAGAAAAAAGAAAATGTGAAATAAATTAAAGGAGCTCAATATGTGAAAGTCTAAATCAATTGATAAATAAATTGATATTAAAATAATTATTTCAGTGATTGATTCATAATTATCATTAAATGTAGTCTTGCGCTCTTGTTTCTTTGCTTGTATTAATCTGGATCTTGGGTGAGTGACTGACAAATGGATTCATCATTATTTATAGGAGCTTTAGAATTTTATATTAAATGTTAATTTTTACACCTTTGATATATTCATAGCAAAGTAGAAAAGTCCAATGACTTGATGCGAGTCGCTAAAATCTTGATACTAACTTTATCTGCATTTAATTTGTACTCTTACGATAAAACAAATAATTAATGTTCTAAATACGTTTTTCCCAACCATTTGGAGCCACAGCACATATTTCACATTAGAAAAATCACACAGCACATCACCAAACAAAAATGTCACAAAATACATATTGATAATGTTCCCTGCACCAGGCAGAGTGGAATTGGCTCAGTTTATCCCCAGTATAGCTTTTTTGCTTTTTTCTGACCACTCATCATGCTAGGGCTTTCATCTAGGTTGGAATTTTTCCAGGTCCCAGGTCAGACTGACTACTTTTTCACTTCAAATGTTTATCTATTGCTATTACAAGCTGCTATCTCACACACAGTATGTCTATTGTGTAATTTATTTTTCGTCTTCCTCTGTTTTACTGGCAGTTGGCAACCAATTTAATTAGAGCAGGTAATTGTACTGCCCTCTAGTGGAAGAGAATGTAATTGTTCTGCCTGTTACTCACGCCGGTCACTTAGTGTACCAATCAGGTGGAACAAGATAATCTTCCACGGCACTCTGGTCATTTCTCACAGCACACTATGTGCCGCGGCACAGTGGTTGGGAAACACTGTTCGAGACAGATATTTATATAAGCTGGGATGCCTTCTTGTTAAATTTTAGAATTATAAATATTCCAATTTAATACCGAAAGTATTAAATAAAGTCAAAATAGTCCACCTACCTTTTTCCTCAAATGGAAATAATGTGAACACAAAATGTTCAACGACGCACGCTCACACAAACACACACAGTGTATTCCTGTCTCACCCATGTGATTCCTTTAATCAAGCTTTGTTAATCACCATGCAACAACAGTTTAACACTGGGTGTTTGAGGACAGCAGGAAATTGTTAATCTGAGCTGTTAAATCAATGCACACACAGGTCATCTGGATCCAAACCAGCCTACCAACCTCCTCCACATCAGCTACTTTGCAGTGGCCTCATTTAAAATAAATAAATAAGATGGTAAAAAGTTTATTAAGTCAGAAAGCT